TATTAAATAAAAAAAAAATTAAAACACCAATTAACATAAGGAACGGTACATTGCGAGTGTACCGTTTCTTCCAATTTTTGTGGGCCATGGTCCACTTTTTTATTCAATAAATATTAAAAATAATATTTATAATATATACTTTTTTATTTATATTTATAATAATTTGTTTTATTAAAATATTAGATTTAAATTTTATTATATGAGTTTTATTTAATATTTATTTTTTTAATAAAATAATATTGTTAATAACTATAATTTTTAATATAATATTTTTATATTTTATGTAACTTTTTAATGCATATTTTTGTAAAATATTTAATTAAATATCTATTAATTCAATTATAACATTTGTTTAATTAAAAAGTAAAGATTTTAAAGGGTTCTTTGATGTGAATGTAAAATATAGTTGGAGTTCTTCGTGACGTGGCGGAGAGAGAAACTGACGTGGCACAGGAGAGAGAATGGGAAGAAACCCTGGATGGGTTTCTGTGTTGTGGATGGCCTTAAAATTTGTGCCTAGAATTTGGAGGCGTTCAAAGTTTATTTTTGATTAGGGCATCTCTAATCCAGTGCCATTAATGGCATTGGGTTGGATGATTTGACATCGATTGTCTTCAATCACAACGCTAATTTTTTGCGTTGCTACAGTGCAATACCAATTTTTAGTATTGCACTGTAGAAAGCTAAAAACTGGCGTTGCTTTCCTTTTTTTAATTTTTTTTTTAAAATTTTTAAATTTTTAAATTTTTAAATTTATGTTTTATTTTTCTAAATTTTTTAAAAAATTATTTTAAATTATAAAAATAAAAAATTGTTTAAAATAATAGGAAAAATTGAATATTTGAAGAATAATAGTGAAAAATAGAATTATGGTTGGAATAAAATTACAGCAATTGCAAATTAAAATTAAAATTCTATAAATGAAGGTTGATGGGTTGAAAATGGCCTTAGAGTGTTGACTTGGTTAAAGCCAACATTGTGCTAATTTGCACAATGTTAGCATACTAATTTGAAGTAATTAGTATTTTATCACAAGATAGACAACATATATTATGTTATATAGAAGTATATATTGTGTGAGTTATATATTGTAGTATGATATATAATTTGCTTATTGTGCTACGGGGATGGTTAGGATGTTGATTCGAAAAAAATCAGTACAATGTTGATTTTTCAATTCAGCACACGTTATATGTACAAACAACACACAATGTTATTATATAAGGCATATGTTGTTTGTAATAAATGTACGTGCTGTTTTTTTTTGTTTTTTGCTTTTTTTTTTTTTTTTTATAATAACAAGTGTTGTATAAGAATATGTCATATGCTAAAATCAACTGTTGTGTGTTGTATTTGTATTAAGTTAACATATACAATATGTTGTAGGTAATAATACCGTGTATTGTCAGATGTGTTGTTGAGACTATAACATATGTTCTATATTCATGTGATATATTTGTATTATATTAATATATACAGTGTGCTGTATGTAATAATAACATGTGTTGTCAAATAACATACCATGTGTTGTTCAGCACAGTGCTGAATATATATTGTATACTTCCTCCGTCCCATTGAAAGGTTACCATTTTTTATTTTTGTCCGTCTAAAAAAACAAAGGTTACCATTTCCTAATTTAATAATTGCACTGACTGACTACCTAACATAATAAATACCCTTTCAACTTACAATATATTACACAAATGTCATTACTTTTATATTACACCGTATTAATAGGGGAATTTTTGTCTTTTTCACTACAATCCAATATAATACTAATATTAAAAAATATACGTGCAAAAAACAATTGTTATCCTTTCAATGGGACGGAGGGAGTATTATATTAAGATTTATTATGAGATATATATACTATTTATATATATATATATATATATTTATATTGATTTAACTCAATTATTACCGTAACCAAAACGATTGCTCGATGACTTGACGACGGTTGAGAAAAGTAATTAAAGACCCGTAGAAAAAGGAAACATTTTGCAATAAATGTTAGAATGATGACGGGTATGTTTGGTTGTGTTTTTCTTTTATTTTCTCTCATATATTTTCACTATTTATTATTATTAGCATTAATTTGTTTCACCATCAAAATATCAAATCATAAATTTATATTTCTTTATATATATATATTGTATAAAAATTTATTCAAAATATCACGCTCACATATATTACATATTTATATCACATTAAAAATTATTATTTTTAAAATACTAAAATACCAATACAGCAAAACAAATATTAAATTGTTTGTCGACAAATTAAGAATAAGAAATTAAATAAAACGGAATTATTTGGATTATTAGTCATGTTTCCTCTTAGATCTCTTCTTTACACTTTATTTTTTTCAACTACCGTATATATTAAAGAAATTAAATAAAATAAAAAGGGCTAGACTTGATTAGGAATCAATCTATCCGTTTTTTTTTTATAAAATTATAGTTGCCACAAAAAAAATAAAAAAATAAAATCTTGTAGGTGTTTGTTTTGTAAAATAATTTAAAAAAATATTTTTTATGTGAAATATAAAGAATTGTGTAGATAATATAAAAATAATTAATATGCATAATATATTAATTTTTTAAAAAATTTATGTGAACTTTTTTTTTTCTTTTCAAAAAAGAACACTATTTCAACTATTATTACAATAATATAATCACTTATTTTAACTCACTTATTGATAAAAGTATTAATTTACTCATTTAATATACCATATATTTTATACAATATTAATATTCTAAATTTTATGTAAAAAATAAATAAATAAATTGGTTCTGGACATAATGACATATTTAGATTAAAAGAGAAAAAAAGATAAAATAGCAAAGATGATGACAATCATGTGAGAATGAAGGTCAGAAAAAGGAGACGAAATAAACCCAAAGTTGACGTTACATACTATGTCTCGTTTATCATGTTCATATTGTCGTTTTTGTCCGTTTGACATGTCATGCCATTTTTTAAAAAAATAAAAATTATACACCTCAATTTTATTTTAAATTTTATAATTTTAATTAGATCAATTAATTGTCTTAATCTAACTATCTAATTATTTATACTATGAAATAATTATATTCTCTATTACTTTTTAATTATTTTCTACCTCCGTCCCACATACCGTATCTACTACACTGTAGACACGGTATTTTAGGAGGGGTGTAATTAATAGATAATTAAGAATGTATTACTGAAAATAATTATCCTATAATATAAATAATTATAAATTAAGATTAAAATAACTAATTAGTTTAATTAGAATTAAAAAAAATTAAAAGTTTAAAATGAAATTAAAATGTATAATTATTTTCCAAAATATGAAAGTGACATAGTATGTGGAATAGATAGAAACGGCAATATAAACATGATATATGAGACGAAGAAAGTATTAATTATTTTTTTATAAATTTTCATATCTACGGTAATTGGCACAAGCGTGGGGACGAGGGTAATATATAATAAGGTAATGTTAAATTCTGGATCCAATGATGACAAGTAGATTTCAATCAAGAAAGGTGTGTTATATCAATGATGATTACAATAATAATGACACTTAAAGTCAAGAATTAGATATTTCTATGGCCCACCCAAACAACCCTACTTTTCAATTTAATTCAATTCCCATTTTCATCTAATTATTAATAATAATAATTTATTCGTCTCATAATAAATTTTTTATTTTTTATTTTAATTTGTTTTATAATAAAATATTAATTTTTTTTTTAGTAATTGTACTAAATATCTAAAATTATAAATATCTTTACAATTTATAATATATTACACAAATGTCATTATTTTTATACCACACAATATTAATAAAGTTATTTTAGTTATTTCTACTTTATTTCTACTGTGCAAAAAAGAAACAAATACTTAATTATGGGATGAGAGGAGTAATAATAATAATAATAATAATAATAATAATAATACTGGTCTTGGTTGCAGTGTATAATTGTTGGATCTAATTATACTTCTTCCGTTCTATTTATCTTGTTATTATTTTTTTTATTTTTATCTGTGTCATTTATTCTATTACTTTTATTTTTTGAAAAAAAATTATATACTTTAATCACATATTAAATTTTTTATTTATAATTTTAAAAAAAATTTAATTAGACTAATTGGTCGTCTTAATCTTAATATAAAATTATTTTTATTATACAATAATTATTTTTCATAATATATTTTTAATTATTTACTAATTATACATCTCCTAAATTCTCGTGTCTATAGTAAACGGGACACGATAACGATCAAAATTTTATCCAAAGTACACTTGAAGAATAATATGTCAATATATTAATTTAAAATAATGAGTATTTCATTTACAAAACAAATAATATATGTTATGTTATACAATAGTATGTGTGATGTGAGCTATATATTATACTATACCTTATAATTTATTTATTATGCTGAAATTAAAATATATTATCTCCGTGCACGATTAAATTTTTTATTTACATTTGGTTGTCATTATTTTTAACATTAAAAATATTTTTATATTTTTATAATTTTTTATACAAATATCATTATATTAGTATTATAAGACACTAATACAAATATTTTTTTTATTTTTTCTTATTTTGTACTATATTTAAATATAATAATTAACATTTAAATATTAACATACAAAAAATAAATGAGAAATTTAGTCTTGGACGTTGAGAGTATTATGTTGCATATAATTATATAATATGATATGTTATATACAGTATTGATATTTTTTTTATAAATTATATATTATATTGTGTTATATAGTTTATTTATTATCCTGAAAATATATTATGCTATCAAAATGCACTATCAAATATTGATTATTTTTTTTTATAAATATATTAATTTGGTCAAATAACATTTTTAATCAAAACTATAATAATAATAATAATCCAAAAACCAAACACAACTAAATTCCACCAACACTGTAAGTTGTAACCCACACAATAAATATATCTCCTGTCTGAACTACCAAAATTTTCAAACAATTAATAAAAATAAAATATAGTATTTAATTAATTTCTCAAGGCTCCGACGTTAGTGGCTGCACCTGAACTGAATTTCTCAAAGAACACTTTTGTCCGAAAGAAAAGAAAGATTTTTTACCTGAACTAGGGCTGCCGGAATATTCGGCATTCCGCCGTCGCCGCCGCTCAATAATTTCTTCCACAGCCAAACCGAGCTGCGCGTCGCCGGCGGAGTCCATCGAGAAAGATCTCCTCATCGGCTGCTGCATTTTCCGGTGATCTTCGATCCACTCGTCTCCCATACTTCCGATTTGGGATTTCTTGCGCCTCGACGGAAAATGCTCGCCGGAGATAGGATCGGCCTCCGCCGCCGCCGCCGCCGCCGCCGGAATTTCGATCGCCACATAGTCTTCGTCGAATTGGGGATTCAGATCTTGCGGCGGCGCGTCGCCGGGGATTTTGATTTCCGGCGAAACGGCGGCGGTCCGGCAGAGGGGGCAATCGGGGCTGTTCTGGAGCCAAACGTCGATACAATCGATGTGGAAAATGTGGGCGCAGTTGGGGAGGATTCGTAACTTATCGCCGCCGTGGAATTCGTTCAGACAGACGGCGCAGTCGCAGGGCCGCCGCGCCGTGGCGGCGGCGCTGGCGGGGGGCGAGGGGGTTTTGTTGAAGATGAATATGGGGATGGATCTTATAGCGGCGTCGGTGAGGCCGCGGGTTTGGGTGGGGGAGGGGGGGCGGCGGTGGTGGTGGTGGTGGCGGTGGCGGGAGGAGAGGCGGCGGAGGAGATCGATGCGGTGGCAGTTGAGGCAGCAGTTGATGACGAAGACGTAGTAAGTGAGGAGCAATAAGGCGGTGGCGAGGATGCCGATGATGGCGACGGCGGTGATCGGAACCGCCATTGATGGAGGTTTAAGGTTGAGTATAGTGCGAGGATTCCGAGGAAGACTTGTGGATCATTATCCCTTGGAATGGATTGGGGTTCTGAAATCTTACTTTGTAGGAAATTAGGGGAAGAACGAAGGAGGAAGACGGCCAATGGGAATGCCTCCATATATATTTATATTTAATTTATTTATTTTTAGCTTGTGATATAAGAATTATGAAAAATATAAAATATACTTCATCTGTCATTTATTAAGACATCTTTGAGTTTCGTAGTATTTTATTAGTAAGTGGAAATGTATAAGAAATTTTGACATTTTTATTTTTATTTTTGTATAAAGTAATTGTATGTGTAATGGTATATTTATAATTTAGATAAAAATTAAATTTATTTTGGTATTAATATATATGATTGCTTTTTCTAAAATAAAAAAATACTTTAAAATAACACGAACAAATATAGTAAAAATGTATTATTTTAAATTAAATATTTAATTTTGTAAATAGTTTCTTCTGTTATTGATTATTATTTTTTAAAATTACTATTGAAAAATAGTATCGAAACACGAAATGCTATTATATATATATATACTTCATCCGTTTCAAAACTATAGTTTGAGTTATGTTTGACACGTGATTTTAAGAATCTTGATATTATATTAGCAGTGAGTAAGAAGTACATATAAAAGACTTTTTTGCATTTGTGAATTTATTAGTGTAAAAAGTAGTGGTAATTGTGTAATAATAATAAAAAAGTAGTTTTATAGTGATATGATTATTTATTAAAATAAAACTATTATTTTAAGATAGATAAAAATGATAAATAAAACTATTGTATTAAAACGGATGAAGTAAATAATTTAGGTGTAGTTGGTGGAAATTTAAAATAGAATTGGTTGCCTTGGCAAGGAAGGAAGGATTGCAAATGCAAGCCATTTCCATGTAAAATATTAATGGCCAAAGTCTACACTAATTTATGAGGTTAGGTGTGTCCTGTTTCTTCGTGGTTTAAATTCAACTCTGCTATCAAAATTGATGTACTTGGCTAAAATAATACTATATCCGTACATATCCCGTCTGCTACAACAATGTAGATACAGTATTTTAGGAAGAGTGTGATTAGTAGATAATTAAAAATGTATTATTGCAAATAATTATCCTATAATATAAATAATTATAAATTAAGATTAAAATAATTAATTAATTTAATTTAATTTTTTTTTAAAAAAAATTAAAAAGTTTAAAATGAGATTAAAGTGTGTAATCATTTCTCAAAAAATGAAAGTGATATGGTATATGGAATGGACAGAAACGGCAATGTGAACATAGTATGTGGGACGGAGGGAGTAGTAGTTAACTTTGATATTTAATAAATAAATAAATAATGTGAACAAATTGTTTATATATTGATATAATTTAAAATAAATTAAATTAAATTAAATATATAAAAGTATTGCACAATAGAATAATATTTTATGAAGATAAATATTAATATACAAAAATAAAATTACGTTATTTTTTTTATTATTATTTATTTTTATATTACTCAACAATTTTTTTCAATTATTATTATTGTTTTTTTATATATTAATATATAATAATATTACTTAGAGGAAACATTATAATCATTTTGTATTAAAAAAACCTCTATTTTTTCTACGTCTTTCAGAATTTTTAATTTTAAACCATGTACAGTGGCCTCATAAAATACTGTGTCTTATTTTTATTTTTTATTTTAAAAGAAATCTCCAATACCTATTTCCTCGTTGTGTGTTTCTTTTGCTTGAGTTTCAGAAAATTTGGTTTGAGTTTAGTATTAAAATAATATTTTATGAGATATTTTATGAGAGGAAAAAAATATATTTTTTTCGAAAAAGACAGAGTCTAAATAGTAAATTTTGAAAAAATTTATCAAAAGAAACATACCCATGAAATAGAATAGTACTCCCTCCGTCCCATGTAATATGGGTGTATTACCGTAGACACTAGAATTTAGGTAAGGTATAATTAGTAAGTAATTAAGAAATATATTAATAAAAATAATTTTAGATTAAGATTAAAATAACTAAATAGTTTAATTAAGATTAAAAAATATTTAAATTTTAAAATTTAAAATATTATTAAAGTGTATAATTAATTTTCCAAAAAAAGAAAGGACAAATTATGTAGGACGGACGAAAATAAAAAATAGAGACAAATTATGTAGGATGGAAGGAGTAATTTATACTCAATTGCACCGATGAAATAGGTTTTTAATGTGATATAAATATATATTGATATAATATTTTGAATGTAAAATTAAATTTTAGTGTAATATAATAAATAAAAAAATTAGTTTTGATTTGATATATATATATATATATTATTTTAAAAAAATTTGAATAATAAAATTAAAAATAAAATCCCAGTAAACAAAGTCAATGTGATTAGACAACATCAAATGTACAATGCTCTCAACCAAATGCAAATGCAAAAGAGTCAACACTATAACAAGAGTAAAAAGTGCTCCTACACCAAGACAATACAAAAATGTACGATTACAATTATTAAAAATATATTATTGCTATTTTACAATCGAATTTTAAATAACAAAATTTGATGGCTTTATATATCTTTAAATAATTATAAAAACATTTTAATTGAATTATAAACAGTATAAACAAAACTATAAACATTACCATATTAAAACAATTTTTTTTTTAATATAAATAATCATAAATTATCTAATGCCATATATATAGCATGTATTGATGTCTAGTTCATATAAAATAATACCCCCATCCGGCTTTAAGGGTCCCAATTACTTTTTGCATATTGATATTTGAATATTAATTATTATATTAAAATGTAGTACAAATTAAAAAAAAATTCAAAAATACTTTAAGTAGTGTCTTATAATACTAATAGAATGACATTTGTAAAAAAAAAATTATACAATTATAAAAATATTTTTAATGTTAAGTACAAAGATGCAAGAAATAAATGTGAACCTAAGAGACGGACAGATGAAACATTACATTACATGCATAAGTAGTGCTCTTTGGTTAGAGTGTTGATTGAATAGTAATTGACACCATACTGATTGTCCTAATCAATACATAAAAATATTATAGATAACATATGAAAATATAACAACATATACATATTGTATAAAATATTAGTACGTATTGCTAATTCTATTTTATATGTATTGTAAATTTGTATCTAATATTCTATTTTGTATATCTATTAATATACTATCAATACAGTGCTAATTATATTTAATTAGTACAATTACCTTTGCATAAATAGTGGTCCAATGCAAATATTAATAAAATTTGTATCTTATGTATTCTTTTGGAAGATTTTTTAAAATTTCTATTATACATAAAAAGTTTTTAAGAAAAATATCAGATCAAATATCTATTTTTTTTAATATTATACTAAAAATCAAATTTTACATTCAAAATATCACATCAATACTTATTTATATAATATCACATAACTATTTCAATTCAAATTTATCGCTATTCAAATCCCAACTCTAATATCCAAATCCCCAAACAAACATCATATCAAATGTATATAACTTGAATTTCTATGTACAAAATTAATTAATCGGTCTCGGTATCAATGTGCTAATTTACTTTTCGTATTTAGATTATTAGCAAAAAAAATATTTTTTATTTATCAATTTTAATTCAATTGATTTTTTTTTTTTGAGATATTTTAGATATTCAGTTTTAGATTTAGTAGATTTATATGTAGATTTGATCTTATTCATATATTAGATTACTTAGATTTGAGTCTATCGAATCTGTTTTGTATTACCTATATAGGCTCCTTATTTTGATGATCCATAACACAATCTCATTATTTTCCCCCAAAATTTCCAACATGATATCAGAGCCTATTTTTCTCATGCCGTAGATATAGTCTATCAATCCGCGTTTCTCCGGGTACATTCAACCTGAATTGTACCCGGAGGTCTTGTGATTTTGAGATTATGCTTTTGCAACTTGTCTTTTTGCAAATTTGTCTCGTCTCCGATCTGTCATCTGTCCGTTGTTTGTCTGTTGTCTGTGTGCAATCTGAAATCTTCGTTGCTTGTCTGCTGCCTGCGAGCGATTTGAAACGATCTGCCATATGTTCGTTGCCTGTCTGTTGCTGCGTGTGATCTGCCATCTGTCGTTGTCTCTCTGTTATTGCGTGCAATCTGCCATCTGTCGTTGTCTGTCTGTTACCTGTGTGTGATCTGCCATCTTTGGTTTTTTATTTATTGCCGGAAATCTGTCTATGATCTGCCGTCTGTTTTGTCTGTTGCCTGCGTGCGATTTGATCTGTTCGATGTTTGCGATTTGTCTGTTTTCGGCTCCGGTGGTCATATGGTTTTCGACTCTGGTGGAGAGTCATCTCGTTTTCGGCTCCGGTGGAGCGTCATATCGTTTTTCGGCTCCGGTGGAGTCATCTCGTTTTCGGCTCCGGTGGAGCGTCATCTTGTTTTTTTGGCTCATATCGTTTTCGGCTTCGGTGGAGTCATCTCGTTTTTTGCTCCGGTGGAGAGTCATCTCGTTTTCGACTTCGGTGGAGAGTCAGTCATCTCGTTTTCGACTCCGGTGGAGAGTCATCTCGTTTTTTGGCTCCGATGGAGTCATCTCGTTTTTTATTCCGGTAGAGTCGTGTCGTTTTCGGCTCCAGTGGAGTCATGTCGTTTTAGGCTTCGGTGGAGTCATTTCGTTTTTTGCTCATGTGGAGAGTCATCTCGTTTTCGACGGCTCCAGTGGAGTCATGTCATTTTCGGCTCCGGTGGAGTCATGTCATTTTCGGTTCTGATGGAGAGTCATCTCGTGTTCGGCTCCGGTGGAGTCATATCGTTTTCGGCTTCGGTGGAGTCATCTCGTTTTTCGCTCCGGTGAAGAGTCATATCGTTTTCGACTCCGGTGGTTGGAGAGTCAACTGCTAATTTTATTTATGTTTTCTTTTTGTGTTTATATTCAAATTTCTCATCAAACTCAAGTTGGTTTTTGTTATACCACTTAAGTTTGAGGGGATGTTGAAATATTTTAGATATTTAGTTTTAGATTTAGTAGATTTATATCTATATTTGATCTTATTCATAGATTAGATTACTTAGATTTGAGTCTATCGAGTCTGTTTTGTATTACCAATATATAGGCTCCTTATTTTGATGATCAATAACACAATC